CTTTTTTGTAATCGGAATCCAAATTGTAATTGATTTTGAGAGAAATACAAGTTAAAATTTTCTTTCATTGTCTTTCTACTGCAAATTTCTAACAAACAAAAACAATCAAGGATTACTACCGGAGCCATCTTTGAACTGGTTCCAGCAACGGAGTTCTCAATCGAAGACGAGAGTTGGAGACGAGTGAGGGCCGAGCGGAGGGGCGGATCTCAAAGACAAGAGTCGGAGACGAGTGGTTGAGCGGCTGAGCGGAGGGGGTAGATCTTGAAGACGATCGTTGGAGACGAGCGGCTGAGTGGAGGGGCGAATCTCGAAGACGATAGGAGAGAGCCCTAGCCCTGAAATCCCCCTTAAGTATTTATATGGGTTAACATTTGTAAATAAAAATTTAGATGAGTAGTGTTTGCAAAAAGTTTAATTAATAGGACTAAAATGTGAAAAGTTATCGAATAGCTAGTAATCAACCGAATCGAACATATCTTTGGTTAAATTCTATTAGTTTATAAGCCGAATAGTAAAAATTATTTGTTTAATAGTAAATGAACTACCGAATCGAACTTGACTGAATATTTGCGCGAATAATAACCGAACTGTTTATTAATTATTCGGTTCACTTCCACCCCTAGTCTAGGGTTTATTAATTAACGGTCAGGTTTGAACCGACCAACTTCAACGGTTCAGTTTCGGTTTTAGAGTACCCCTAAGTTGCAAGGTAGGGGTGGGGGTAGTTTACAAATTATTTTCCTTATTTTTAATTGTTTATTATTTTAATTAATTTGCATCATCTATTATTGATGATCTTTACATTTACATTTTTTCACTAATTTCTTTGTATACATTTTTTTGGTAGGGGTGGGCCTGGCTGGTTCAGGCCCATGACCCAGCCCGTCGGGTTCAAGATCGGGCTAGGCCTAATCCAAGCCCGATCAGGCTAGAGTGAGCCGGGTCTATTTCTCTGATCTTGGGTCTAGGACTAGACCTAGTCCGGTCCACGACCCGTCTAGATGTAGGTCGGGTTTGACCCAGCCCTCGACCAACGGGTTGTATTTGTTTAATAGTAAATGAACTACCGAATCGAACTTGACTGAATATTTGCGCGAATAATAACCGAACTGTTTATTAATTATTCGGTTCACTTCCACCCCTAGTCTAGGGTTTATTAATTAACGGTCAGGTTTGAACCGACCAACTTCAACGGTTCAGTTTCGGTTTTAGAGTACCCCTAAGTTGCAAGGTAGGGGTGGGGGTAGTTTACAAATTATTTTCCTTATTTTTAATTGTTTATTATTTTAATTAATTTGCATCATCTATTATTGATGATCTTTACATTTACATTTTTTCACTAATTTCTTTGTATACATTTTTTTGGTAGGGGTGGGCCTGGCTGGTTCAGGCCCATGACCCAGCCCGTCGGGTTCAAGATCGGGCTAGGCCTAATCCAAGCCCGATCAGGCTAGAGTGAGCCGGGTCTATTTCTCTGATCTTGGGTCTAGGACTAGACCTAGTCCGGTCCACGACCCGTCTAGATGTAGGTCGGGTTTGACCCAGCCCTCGACCAACGGGTTGTGGGCCAACCCGTAGGTTTTTCATCCAATTTTCTTCTATTTTTATACATTTTTTATTATATTAAACTTGTATTTACACTTATAAAATTATTTCTAATTTTTTTTGGTAATTGGAACTTATATTAAATTATTTTTAATATGTATTAAACTTTTAATCCTTTCAAGCAGACAGCAGTGAGTTTAAAGATTGCTGTTTTATTTCCCACGAACCAAAGATCTATAGCATTTTCGCTTTGTTGGCAACTAACTATAGACCCAATGGGCTAAAGGAACAAGTAATCTAACTAAAAAATTATATCATGGGCGGGATCGTGCCGAGCCGGTTCGGGTCGAGCATGGGCCGAGCCAGCGTGGCCCTTGCCTACTTCTGTGATCCTAGGTCTGGGGTTGAACCCGGGCCGCCCTGTGATCCGGATATGTCATGGACCAGGGTAGGGCCCGACCCACTATGGGGCGGGCCAAGTCATGACCCATGGGGGGTTAGGCTGGGTCAGCCCACGACTCGACCCGACCTACGTCCGACCTACTTTTGAGTCAAAAATAGACCTTTTAAAGTAAAAAAAAGTGTGCAATTATGTTATCTTACATACGCACCCTCTTAATGTTGAAAGGATGTTTTGAGGCATAGAAAAGAAGTGATATGTTACGGTTAGCTCTTAATTTTGTTTCGGTGATACTGGGCCAATAAGGGTTTCGACCCTTAATTTGATTAAGGTTTGATTGATTCTTAAGTTGATTCAGACAACATGAGGGAGCGTAATTGACTCATGTTTAATATGTGAAATTAACGTATGATAATAATTGAGGAAATATTCCAATGCTTAACCAAAGATAATGTGCTCCTTTAAAAAACAATAATGGTACATTTGAAAAATGAAATTTTATTTTGAATTTTGGATTTGGCCCAATTCCGTATGGACCTAAATAATACATTTGAGCAAGATTTCTAAATGACACCTTAGCCCAAAATGACAACTTAGCCCATGTCATTTCCAAATCTAGTTTCTCTTTTTTCCGATCGCGATCGTTGTTATCTCTCGACTTTGTCTTTGAATTTGTCTCTTCACTTCGACTCTCTACTTCGACTCCCCTCTCCCATCCCCCACCCCCACAAACCCTAACCGTAGATCCAACTACTCTCCCTCCTCCCCCATTCTCAGTTGAGAGATCATCACGCTGCTGCTAGGGTTACACGAGGTTCAAATTCGAGTTCGGTTCATATGGTGCTATTCGTGTTCGTATTCGAATTCGACTCGAGTAGTAATACAAATTCGAATTGGCTTCGTTTATTTATATCGACGTTCGAAAAAAGAAGCTAATTATTGTAAGGCATAGGTAACTTTTACCGGTGGGCGTCCTCGCAGAGAGGGACGAGGGCGTCGTCGCGGGGAGGAGGGCGTCAGAGAGGGAGGAGCGCAGGTCGTCGGAGAGGGAAGAGGGCGTCGTCGTGGGGAGGGAGGGCAGCGTGGGAGGGCGTTGTGGAGGGAGGAGGGCGTCGGAGTGAGAGAAGCGCAGGTCCTCGGAGAGGGAAGAGAGAGTCGTCGCTCAGGGAAGGAGGAGGGCGTCTTCGCGGGGAGGGGGGGCGTCGTCGCGGGGAGGGGGGGCGTCGTCAGAGAAATAGGTACTTGGTTGGAAGCGGAAAGTGGAAACTCAGTGATGTGAAAACCCTCTTAACATGTCTATTTATATATGGGGGTTGAAGTTGGAGTAAAAATTTTGATGGGTAATATTTGCAAGAAGTTTAATTAATAGGATTAACATATAAAAAGTTATCGAATAGTTAATAATCAACCTAATCGAATGTACCTTTAGTTAAATTCTATTTGTTTATAAGTCGAATACTAAAAAATATTCATTTAGTATTAAATAAACTGTCGGATCGAGTATAACCGAATATCTAGACGAATATTAACCGAATTGTTTATTAAATATTTGGTTCGCTTCCACCCCTAGCTAAAATTGAACCTGATGATAAGTTTAAGCTTGTTGCACTTTTTTCAAATAGACTTAGATCATAAAGAGTCTCAATCCTCTTTTCGTTCTTCCTCTTGTTTAACTTCCTAGGATCGGCAAGCTTTGCATAATCTAAGATCTAAAATAACCTTACACTATAGAATTTGAGTTCCCAAAACATAGCTAAATCCAATCCAACTTCTTATCATCAGGAAGATACTTTAGGCTTCGTTTGGATAACATAGTATTTTCCTTATTGTGTTTTTCTAAAAAAACAACATAACGTTGTGTGTTTACCTTAAAATGTTTTCAAAACACCATGTTAAGTATTTTTAGTCAACACTAGTTTGACCCATTATAAAATTAGTATTAAACATATTATTAATATATTATATATTAATTATAATAAACTATATTGTAAATAAAATGTTATAATATTTAGTTTACATTATTATAGTATTATAAGTATTAAATGTAATGCAATATAATATTGTATAATGTATTATAATATTATATTATACTTTAATAAGTTATATTATATTATTATTATAATTACATTATAATTATTACATATTATTTTCAAATAATTATATATCTAATTATTTTGGTATATCAATTTGTTATTGTTGTATATTATATTAATATTTTTATAATAATGTTATTTTATTATTAATATAATATTATACTATTATTCATATAATATAATATTATTAATAATGTTAATATTATGTTATTACTAGTATGTTATTAATAAATTAATATATCATAAATATTTTAATATATAATATAATATAGTTTTTAATATATTAGAGTTTATTAATAGTACTTTAATAATATATTAGTATTTATGATATAAATAAATATTATTGTGTTATGAATATATTATTATTACTTATAATTATTAATTTATATAATTTATATATTAAAAGTAAAAATATAATAATATTATAGTGATTATACTATTGTATAGTATATTATTATATCATTATTATGTTATTATTTATTATCAATAACTTTTTATTATTTTTTATTAGTTTATTTATTATATAATACATTATTAACATATTAAATATTGATATTTAATATGTTATTATATTATTATATAAGATATTTTATTTTTTATATTTTTATATTATTTAATAAATATTACTAATATATCAAAGTAACTATAGTATGTATATTATAGTATAATATAATAAGCATGTTAATAATAACTCTATATTAATTATATTTAATATATTATGTTAGATATTATATTAAAACTTTCTCAAACTTAAAACCAAAACACAAAACTTAAAATACCTAAAAGGTGTTATGAAAAAAAAATATTATGTTTTTTTTTTGAAGATAATTTAGCTCAAAAAATATCATGGTTTTTAAACACATAATGTTTTATTAAAAAAAAAAACAACATGGGAAAAAGTAAAACACACGGGGATCCAAATGTAGCCTTATAAATACGTTTTCGAGCCGACGGGGGAGAGCTATTTCCATAAATTATCGGAAATGAGCCGAACTGGCCCAAATGCGACTTGAACGCAAGGGCTATGAGCTGGGTGATTTTTTTCTATTTCAGACGATCCGCAGCCATCCGGGAGTCATTCATTCCCCAAGCCCCCCACCGTCGTCTCAAAAAACTCGCTCCCCGTTGCCTAAACTAGCAATTCGAAAAAAAGGGTCGAGCTAGCGCTTCCCCCTTTCGGAAGAAGGAAAATGGCGGATTCAGATGGGGGGGAGGAGGAAACAGGCAGCGGCAAGCTGAGAGGGACGCGGAATCTGGAGGTCGACGGCGGTCTCCGGGAGATGGCGAAGAAAGCAGCGTGGAGCGTCAGCTCCTGCAAGCCCGGCAACGGCGTCCTCTTCCTCCGCGACGACAACCTCGACACCTACTGGCAGTTAAACATCCTCTCTTTCCTCCCTCCCTCCCTCCTATTTCGTCAAGGATCGACTTGTGAAGCTCGTTTCTTGTTTAATTGCACTTTAGCACCCTATTTACGAAAGTCGAAATATTTCATTGTAGATGGAATCCTGAACGGTGACCGTGAAACTAACTTCAGGGGGTATTGAAGTGCAATTAAACCCTTCAAAAAATTGATTAAAGTTGGTCGCTTGGTTGGAGAAGCTGATTTAAAGTTTATTTCTTGGTTTCGTAAATTGATCAAAGCTTGTTTCTTGGTCGGCAGATCGGACGGAGCGCAACCCCACTTGGTTAGCATCCAGTTCCAGAAGAAGGTTAAGCTGCAAGTATGATGATAATCAAGTGCTTTTACTAATTTTTCACATCAAGAGTTTATATTATTTATTTATTTATTTATTTATTTAGTGATACTGATGTGTCGTTGAGGTTGTGTTCTCAGTTGTTGGCTGTCTATGTGGACTTCAAGCTTGACGAGAGCTATACTCCGAGCAAGATTTCAGTTAGAGCCGGAGATGGCTTCCATAACCTCAAGGTTGATATTCTCTCTCTTTACTCTTGTATTTCGTTGCATATTGTTCAACATTATTTTTTTTATATTTCTTATTTATTTTGTAATGAACCAATGACACATATCTTGGGCTGTTTGGTTCCTAGGGTTTAACTTATTTCTCGTAAGGAGTTTCCTCGAACACATTGTACACGTACAAGACACCAAAATCGTTAACAACGTTCCTCTTGATATTTCCTAAAAAGTACTACCCGTCAATGATATTTGGAATACGAAACTTAATCATTTAAATTTTTTACTTCCCTCTTTACCCATCTCAATCTTTTTGTTGCATCTGGTTAGCTTATTTGGGTCTTTGTATATATAACGAGTTTTCATTTCCATGATTTCTTCTAGCAGGAGATAAAAACAGTGGAGCTTGTGAAGCCAGTTGGATGGGTCCATGTATCCTTGTCTGGTACTGATCCCCGGTATAGTTACCTTCATTTATATTCTTTGTACTATCTCCTTGTTTCCCAAAGATAATTTTGCTAGAATTCTTAATATCTTCACTTGGAACCAGAATGGATAAGATTTGACCTTAGAATTGCTGCTTCCCTTCCTCTATTCTGATACATGAAGAACCAGAAAGTTCTTTTGGTGTTTTCTCATATTAGAACATGATCTTTCATATTTTGATATTAGACCAGAAAAGCTTCATATTTTTAGCAAATCTTCGTATTTTTAGTTTAGGTTTGCTAATCCATTTGCTTGTTTGAGATTACATCATTCAGTTAGTTCTAACCTTAGTTTTACATTAGATTCATCATTCACTAGTTCTTATATTTCTCATAGAGCAGAGCCCACCCTAACGGCCATTTGTCCCTTTTGTCTCACCTTTTGAATGGCTTCATCTTCTCCCACCTCGTTTCTTAAATCTATTAATCTCTCCACTTCAACTTCATCTCCATTTCTCTCATTTTACTCTTACTACCATACAAATTCCCTCCCTCCTCCCTCCCCCTCCACACATGGCACCTCCATATCTCCCTCAAGTTTGCATATGGCTTTTAACCCATCTCCTCCTCCCTCAACTCCTTTAACTAAATCCCTTGACCTACCTCCATAAGCATAAACAAATCTGTACTTTATGGACCTTTTGATAGTTTATGACTTGATGTTTGTGCGTACAAGACTGAACCAGGTATTTTGATCGTGAAGTCAGAGAGGACCTCATTTTCAACAGTGAGGAAGCAGATGGATATTTGGGGTATAAGGAGACAATGTTGGAGAAGATCCATCCATTTGCGGCAGTTTGGTTGGAGGCAAGTGAGGAAAGGAGGTTGGCATGAACCAGGATACAGTGTGACGTGAGAGAGGGAGTGGATGATGGATGAGTTTGCATCATAAACATTAACAGTAAACAGAGTGGCAAAGGCAGTAAACAGAGATGAGGCGGGCATGTTTACCTCCAATATCTAGATCTTTTAAATAAAAATAGCCAACCTACTGATTTTGGTGATTTATCCTCTAATTGTTCAAATAAAAATTTTCCCCCACAATAACTCTGAGCAAATGAAACTGATATTTTCTTTCTTTTCCTTTTTGTGTTCTGTTAAACTGATTTTGGTAGGTATAGACATTAAGAAAATCGTTAAAGTAATCTAAGTTCATACATGTGAGCAATCCACTGAGCTCTTGACTAGTTTTTACTGGAAATTATAATATACAGCCAGATCTATAGTATAATCCCATTCGTATGAGGTTTCTCGCCCTGTCGCCTTCGAAGGCCTAAGTTTGAAATGAACAGTTTGGTGGATTTTCTAGTTTTATGATTTTTTAGATTTTCAAATTATTCTATTACCGGTTTCTGGTTTTCTTAGCTTTTCATCTTATCCTATATCTTTATACAGATAGGAAATGTTGTATACCATCTAGAGAGTACTTTATCATATCAATGTTTCTTATGGCAGCAAATAGTTAGCACTGCTGAAACTGAAGGATAGAAATTTGAGTATCATCTGGCCCAGTTGCCTAATAGATGAAATGGTAGCATTCCTGGATGTTGTGCAAGTACAGTGAACTCATGAATTCCATCATATACTCCCAAAAAAAAAGTAGTAGGAAAAAATAAAGAAAGTGGAAGAAAGAGAAAAAATAAAATAAGATAAAACCATATTACAAAAATAATGTTACATGTAGTAACAACTTCGTTTATTGTTGTTATCAGGCTGCATTCTCAAAATACTGATAGGCCTGAAAATAGGCATGAAAAGTAAGGTTTGAATACAAATTGAGTCAACCTTTTGTTGATCAGAATATTGGCAATATCTTTGGCCTCGTGATCTAGAAGATAATATGATAAAGTACTAGAACAACATTGAGAATCTCTTTTTGTTTGTTTTTGCACTATCTTAATGCTGCTCATTTCTTTTTCCTTTAAATTTATCATTTTGCCTATGTGAATTGGTCACATATACATTTCGCAATTTCAATAGATTCATAATTTGTTGGAGCCATTTGTAGTTGCACTTCCCATTCAGTGCAAGGGGCTACTCTGCAAATTTCTCATAAAGTACGCACTTGATTCAAATAACAGTATTGTGTATATGATCCAAGCGGGATTCAATACCTCTCATTGTCAAAAATCGTAAATACTTTTTAATATTATCTGAAATTTCTTGTCTTGCATCTTGCAGTGAGACATTTATTCACACTTTCATGCTCCAAGTTGCTATTCTGTCCAATCACCTGAATGGAAGGGACACCCATGTGCGCCAGATCAAAGTCTATGGTCCTCACCCGTATGTCAACTCTCAGGCTTTCCCTTTTTATAGTTCTCGAAATTTCGTACATTTTCTGAAATTTCATTTTGAGTTTGTTATTCATACTTGTATTGCAGGAATCCAGTTCCTCATCAACCTTTTCATTTTACTTCACCGGAATTCATAACGTACTCAACTATTAGGTGAAGAGGTATGTATACCGCTTATCTGAATAAGGTACAAGGTGGAAATGCGGTCTTAGAAAAAGCTGTTTGTTGTCAGTCATACAGAAGTAAATTTTTTGTCCCAGACAGTATGCGAACCGATTTTCCTTGTAGCTTCCAAGCTGATGATATGAATACATGTATACATTTTCAGAAAACTTGATGATTAACTGGGTTTTGATGTATCAGACATAAATTTTGCAGTTATAATAGTCTTTTTCTTCCGAACCAAAATTTCGTTATTGATGGCAGAACATTTTATCTTTTGCATACCATCTAATTTGTCATTTATATACTAACATAAAATCTTGAAATATGATATTAGCATAAAATTATGAGAGGATAACTTTTGATTAACTGTTTGCTGCCTGTTCACGTGGAACCACTTGGTGAATATTAGAATTTTTACTGGACTCATACAAGGAGAAAGGAAGAAAAGGAGAAAATTAGTTAAACCATTTATTATCATTAAATGGTAATAAACAATATTTTTATGTACATCGTGATCTATTTATTAGGCTTTGATATTTAGATGATTGTTCTTTGTCTGTTGATCAGATTCTAATAGTACTCCCCTTTGATAAATGCATTGAGGCGCTTTACTTCCTCCTGCTGCTGATCAACTACTGCCCGGACAACATCCACCATTGAAATCAATCCCACTACCTTTTGATCTATCACAGGGACATGCCGGATATGCTTCTCTGTTACCATCAAAAGATCAGTTGTCACTCTCAATTCTTTGTCCTTTATGGAAGGTAAAATTCTAAGGGTAGTTAGTACCTGCCATCAGCTGCATTGCTTGGAGAATGTTTGTATCGGAATTCACTGAAATGAGTTTGTTCTGTAAAACCCAGGGTTGTGAGAAATGTGAAAAAATTATGGCCCCATGTAGCATATCAAAAAAATTAACAAATCATGTTTAAGCGCAAGCATAGACCTCATCAGTCATTATCTCTCCTACGCTCGTGGCCTTTGAAGATCTTCCTTGCACAATTATTTTTCGAAGATAATCTGTGTTAAGTATATTTCACGTTAGAAAGGAGACGTTCTGAGGCATAATTTAAGTTCAATATAATGCTTCTTTACTTTGCATAATCCAAAACCGATCTGTGAATATATTCTAGTAGTAAAACATGAATTATGTATTTAACAACTTTGTCAATATGCTGTAGATGGAAAGAAACGATTCTATACCTCTCTCCGTGATGATTCCTGCAACCAGCTTTTGATCTCCAGGTTTCAATACAACTAATGCGCCGATATTATGTTTTGTCATCTGCAAATAAAGATTGGTTATATGATATGAAACTCTGGAGTTTTTTCCCCCTATCAGTTCTATTATGGTAATGCAAATTCAAGTTAAGAGTTCATACATTCTTCACAGCATCATATACTGTATCATTGGTGCGACACCAATAGACTGCTTCATTATCGCCGTCTTCGTCGTCGTCATCCCTCTTAGTTTTCAAGATTTTGGCCACGGTAGTGTTATCTAGTCCATGATGAGGTATGATAGGAGTTGAGGATGCGCTGAATAAGTTGGACCATGGAAACCTTTGCTTCATGCTTATATGCTGTAGAACAGCAAGCTTAACTCTCTTTCCATGGAAAGCAATTGCTTGAGCTATCCCGTGCATGCTTGGTCTTTTCTAGTACTGACCCTGGACGATTAAGAGCACCATGAGATTTATACTAAGAGGGTTGGCGACGACGAAAGGAAGCATGGAAATCATACCTGGAATGGGAATTGGAAGATGCCGGTATGCGTGCTCTGTGGGCATGTTGATCATATCATATTATCAGCCATGGAAGTTTAAAGGAGAAGCAAGAAATATTTCTTGGCTATAGCATGGAGGTTAAGCTCAAACCTTAAGTTCAAGATATCCTTAAACTTATTTTTGGCGACTGACAATGAATAAATGGATTCCAAACCTTAAATATTTCCTTCCCTCTTTTGGCTTGAGGGGACAGCAACGAGGGCGCTCGTGCGTATACCATCGTTGTAAGGTTGAACTTTAAAACCGCCTCGCTAGCAATTGGATGTTTGGAAACAAATAGAAAACTTTTTCTAGTAGTAAAAAAAACCTATTTCCACTCCTTTCTACGGGTTATATAAAGTTTTTGTTTGTTTGTTTGTTTGATTGATTGTTTGGGCATGGAAAGATGGGAAGGAAACAATTTCTATTATATTTCCTGTTTAGGGGCTGTTTGGTACATTTCTGGAGAAAAAAAAGAAGAAAAAAAATTCTAGGATGAAATCTATTTCTTGACATTTCAAAGGGTTTTCCCAGATTTGAGATATTTTGTTTGTTTCACAGTGAATTTAAGAGATTGAGAACAATGTGCTCCTTTTCAAGTGTTTGGTACAACACTATGTAATAAAGAAACCATAGCTGCTTTCCACATTTCTCAAACCAGAATTGTTTGGCAAGTGACATCCCCCAAAATGAGAAAACCCATCTAAGCTCATCACGGTGAGCTCACCTCCCAAACAAAGATAAGAACCTGGCAACGGTAAGATTCAACCAATGGGCAGAAAAAGATCGCACAAGTAGCAGTGATTTGTGCCTCTTCAAATAAGCAACAGTAACCCATCTAGGCACTTTATATAGTTGGGATATGCTGAAAAAATATTTGCCAATCAAACACATACTCAACTTATTTCCTCTCTTCAAAGTGCTGAAATTGGAGATATCAAGAAGCCGTCTGCTCAAGCTTTGCTAAGCCATGGAAACAACCCAAATATCTCAAAATAGAGGTGTAGAGGTAACTTGCCAGTGTCAAATACCGACGCCATTAAAGCTATGCAAAAATGGACCGAACAAGGGCACATACTTTTGGGGCTGCGTAAAATACCCAAATAGGCAATGTAAATTCTTTAGATGGGCAGAAATTGAGCATGATAGCAAAAAAGGAAAAGCAATCACATATAAGCACGATATCAAAAAAGGTAAAGCAACCTCTGATGAAGCAACTCCTCGTGATGTTTCAGAAATAAGAGACTTGGAAACAAAGCACTTGCGAAGAGAATTGAAGTTTGCAAATCAATCGTGATGTTTCAGAAATAAGAGACTTGGAAACAAAGCACTTGCGAAGAGAATTGAAGTTTGCAAATCAACAAGTTGATTACTTGAAGAAAAGTCTTGGAAACAAAGCACTTGCGAAGAGAATTGAAGTTTGCAAATCAACAAGTTGATTACTTGAAGAAAAGTCTTGTTGTCTTAGGAATATTTACTATTTTCCTTGTTGTCGTAAACATTGTAATATGCTCTTTTTTATAAATATAATGCAAAAATCTCTTTAGAATGAATGTACTCTTGTATATGAACAGATTTAAACTAAAACAGTGAACATATTGAAAAACAATGATGTGCAAATCATTTCATGTATATCTGTAACAAAACGTGCCAAAAACCGATAAATATTAACTGCAATATACCTATGCAAAATACTCACATGTGAAAACATGTATCAAACAACTAATCAGAATCTGAATTCAAACATCCAGAACAATAAAAGTACGTGATGGCTATACTGGGTAGTGCTGAAAAATCCAGAGCATGTGAGTGTAGTAGTCTGGGAAGGTGGGTAGTGATGCAAAAAGTTGGGGTGTGGAATCAGGCAACAAATAAAAAATTTGTTTAAAATTCAGTGAGGTCTAAAAAATGTATGAGAAAGCAGAGTTGTGAAAACATGATAACATGAGGCAATACTCCAAACCAAAAAATCCATAACCACTTAACTCTCTGATGCATTGTTCACAATACTAAAATCCAGCACTATACTCGCAAGGTTGCAGAAATGTGAAAACATGTGACCAAATCATGAATCCAGACATGAAATCATGTTACCAAATCATGAATCCAGACATGAAATCATGATATCCCGCAAAGTTAGATAAAATGTGCTCAGATATATGTCTACATCATCATATATCCCACACCAGTAATCAATTACTACGCAAAGTTGGCTTCAGACCTTTACATTTTACTCCTCAGCTCATTAGGTAAATGTTGGGACTGCCTCGCCAAAACAGTGCAAGTATTATTTACTGGCTTAGAATATCAGAAAATTAGACAATCATCATTGCAGCAGGTTGTGCATGCATATACAAACTGCATCAAAAAACAGTGCTTGTTGGTTCCTCATGAACTTGCAACAAGTTGCATGTACAATGTAGCTATAACAATCAAAGGCTGCAATATATGTACAATGGCTATGGCCAACATGAACTTGCCTCGCCTTAAGATTGTTAAGTTACATGTGATTGTATCTAATATTTGCATGCACTCAGCATTGCACCGTTCAAGTTAAATTAAAAAAGTGACAGCTTGTCATACCAGCAAGCATTTGCATTGAATGGGGCACCTCAACCATGACATAGAATCCTATGTGGCACCTGTAATTAGGAAAACAATCAGTGTAACCTGAATCAAACTTTGCACCACTCCCTAAGCATCACTCAACATCATGTACTAGACTGCATCAAAATAAATCACAATGGTAGCTACTGCATCATATCCAAAAATATACAGCCATACCAACCACCTAGAAGTTTTTTCGACATAATAAGATCACTGTTAGGCCTAGTGTGCAAAATAAAAAAGGGCCATCCAACTCCAAAATGTTCCTGTAAATAGCAATAGGTAAAGATATCAGTGTGGATTAAATCACTTGGTAGTGCAAGCATTTAAGCAGCAGAACCAAGCAATACCTGGATTGCCAAACTAGCTTCCCCCATCTTCCTTCTTCATGAAATTGTCCAACAATGCCCTTTGACCAAAGTCACTCTTACCTATTGTAGGCATCGAAAATTGCCTATAGGTCTCTACGAACTGTTCAGTGTTAAAGAGCGACAATGAACGTCACCATCCGATCCACAAGAGTCTAATTGATGTCGACGAACGACTGAAGTGAATCGACGAGCTACGTGAACGGATAGGATTTCGGAACAACGGAGACCCGGACCAATCAAGGAACCCGGCACTGTTCACAAAAAGGACAACGCCCTTCGTGCCTCGACCACTCCACAGACAATCCAACCACCAAAACGGATCGAACTCTTCATCACGCATCCAACGCACTTGGAATCACTCAAATCCGAGTTCGGACGAAGAGTTTACAGGGAAAACAACCGAAACACCTCAAATGGAGTCCCGGCAAGTCGAAACACCCCGGGGGTGTCTAGGAAAAGCCTAGACACCCCAGGGGTGTCTCGGCCATGGCCGAGACACCAGGGGGTGTCTAGGCCCCCTAGACCCCCCTACACACTCCTAAACACTATAAATAGCCCCCTAGGACCTTGCTTTTGAGAGGAGGATTTTTGGAGAGCCTTGGCGAAGCCCTGCTGCAGTGAAGAGTGGTCGTGCGCTTCAACGAGGAGAGGAGAGGTCTACACCAGCGCCTTCATCACCCGTTCCCCCTTTGCCTTAGTATTAGCCCTTGGCGTTAATACTAAGAAGAGCTAATATCTCGCTTTAGCCGAGATTGACGCTTATAGCTTCTAGATCTCACGCGGATCGACGAAGCTCTGCCCGATTTTATACGCTTATAGCTTCTAGATCTCACGCGGATCGACGAAGTTCTGCTTCTATATCCCTCCGCGGATAGACGAAGCTCTGCCCGATTTTCTCGGAACAGATCTGAGTGCCCCGGTGGTCCACGGATATCAACGTCCCCGTCACAGGCCAAAGACCCACGCAAGCAAGAGATGATAAACAGATCTTGCGTTTGTTTGAAAGGAGTTGTATTTCTTTTGTTTTCATTGTGTAAAGGTCTTATAAAAAGACTATCTTTTTATTTCATTGTAACGATCAAAGTTGTAATGAATGCAGCAATGAATACAGCAACTTTTTCCGCAAACAAGCTGGCGACCACAATGGGAGCCAACGGCATCGCTTCCGACGCCGTCGTGACGCAACCAGCACTCAAGATCGGGGTGAATGAAGAACACGAGCTCGATCAACAACAGTTCAAAGAAGGCCTCTCTTCCTCCTCCTCCAGATCCGCCTCTCCAAACGGGTACAGAAAGGTAACCTCTTTCATAAATGATTGCAGGTCCTTCGGTTCAAAAATCCAAACCCCCGTTGCCGCCTCTGCACTTGCACCACGTGACGTCCCCGCGTCGTCCAACGTGGTCGAGATCGCAGATCCGAACTCCTCTTCCGCCGAGGAGATGGCTTCTGAAGACGCTCCAACATTATCAAAGAGAGCACGACAAAGACAGCGTCAACGTCTTGCTCGACAGCTGGCCGAGGCTTTGGAGCCAATGGATGGGATCCGCTATAACGTGGATCTAAAATCCAGGCAACGCCAGGAGCAACCACGGCAAACAACCAGCCCCTCCTCCGAAGCAGAAACAAACAAATGGGTTCATGTCAAAAGAACCCGTTCTACTCTCGAGGAGCGAATGCCCGAACCCTGGTGCAAAAAGCACGAGAAATGCAAAAGGAAGAGGCAGTTAAGAGATCGCCGAGATCCAAACGAGTTTGGGTGCCAAAGGCCAAATCAACGCCTAAGGCAAAAGCAGGCGACGTTGCTCTCCAACCTTCGTCAATTTCAGGTCCCGAACCTTCGGTAAAGCCCCACCGCAGCGTGGATTTCCCCAAGTCTAGGAATCCTCTGAACAACCGTATCGATGCTCTACCCGAGAATCGAGGAAAAACGCTTGTCAAGGGAAGCTGGGGATCGCTGAAGGAGCTTCAAGCCTTGATAAGGAGAGCTGGAGATCATTGAACGAGCTGCAAGCCAACACCCGGACTGGGGGTCGTACGCGACCTCCTAACAAACAGATTCCTGCAACGGCCAGCTTGGCGGTGCGTGCAAAAGACCAAGAGCCCGGTAAGGTTTCACCCTCACAAAGGTGTGATTCCAAACGTGCGACTCTTGCAGAGGCCAACAAGGCAATGTTTACTCAGAAGAAGACGCGTCGGACAGACGAACGCGTTATACCTGAGAACCCATGTGAGCAGCCGATAGGTTACTCCGACTGCAACGTCAGTGAGTTGTA